CAAGGGCTGGGTCAGCACCTTCGTGACCCCTCCCTGCCTGCCCCAGGGCCCTCCGCTCCTCACCGAGAGCAGCTCTGCGGAGGACAGTTGGGGCCAGTCACCAGCTCTCTGAGAGGGAAGATGGGCCACAGGAGCCAGTCTCTTAAAAGGCTCCTTAAGAGGGTCTGACCTACTCTCTCAGGCCAGACTGGAGGTGGAGAAGGAGGGGAGGGCTGCCAGGACAGAAGATTCCTGTGGGGGCTGGGCATGGGCGGTGACAATGGGGGAAGAGGCAGCTTTGTGTCCAGGCTGATGGGTTTAGTCTTTGAAACCAGGAGTGGGGGATGGGGAGTCACTGCTCGTGCCCAGACTCAATCACCTCAATCGGCAGATCAAGGAAGGTGGGACAGGCCAGTCCCCTGCCGAGCATAAGAGGGGTGGGCTCAGCACACACAGGAGGAAGCCAGTTACCCCGGGAAGCTGGGTGCTACACTTGGACAGGAAGGATTTAGACCTGTCTGGGGATGACAGTTCTCCCATCTAAGGGAAGTTGGGGGCTGTCTCTGCCCTAGAGGCTGAAAAGCTCACGTGTCCAGCCCCATTGTCCCTGCCGGAGACAGAGGGGAAGCCAGGGAGCTTTCCGGAAGGACGGGAGAAGTGCAGCTGAGGGGGCTGCTGCAGGTGCCTGGGTCTCCTCGCTGCTGCAGCAGGCTGGGCGGGGTGGAGACCCCAGGGACAAGAACGGGTGGAACGAGGACCCCTTCCTCCGTCCCTCCTGTGGGGGCATGAGCCTGATGGGCAGCAGATTCCTCACAAGAATAACAAAGATTTGGATCTGAGCACCACAGTCCTCGCCCCTCCCTGTCTCACACCTGCTGGCTGCTGCAGACATTGCAGTTTGACTTTTTTTTTTTTTTTTTTTTTTTTTTTTTTGAGACAGAGTCTCACTTTGTTGCCCAGGCTAGAGAGTGAGTGCCATGGCATCAGCCTAGCTCACAGCAACCTCAAACTCCTGGGCTCCGAGCCGATCCAGGGGGGGGGGGGGGGGGGGGGGGGGGGGGGGGGGGGGGGGGGCCTGCTCCTTCAGCCTCCCAAGTTAGCGGGACACAGGCATGCGCCACCATGCCCCGATAATTATATATATATATTAGTTGCCCCAATTAATTAATTTCTATTTAGTAGTAGAGACGGGTCTCACCTTGTCTCAGGCTGGTCGAACTCCCTGACCTCGAGCAATCCGCCCGCGCTTGGCCTCCCAGAGTGGCTAGATTACAGGCTGTGGAGCCACCTGCAGGCCCCAGTAGGACTTTGAAAGACCCCTGGCAGGGCAACCTATTGGGGCCCCAAGTTAGAGGAGGATGAGAGGGCTCAGGGCCTGTGGCCACGCCTTTGCCCAGCCCCAGCTCAGCCACCCCAGATGCCGCTCGGTTCCTCCCTGGACGTAGCACTCTGGCACTGCCCATAAACCCAACCCAGGGGCCCCTGGTTATTCGTGACTGCCACCGCATTTCTAAGTGTTCCCTATCACCTCACTGAAAACTACCACAAACACACCTTTGGCTGGGGAAGAATAAACACACAACACCATAAACACACCAACAACCCCACAAACACATAACACACACAAGAAACACAGAGCCTTGGAAGCCCAGTGACCACGTGCCGTTTAATATAACGTTCCCATGGGGAGGGGAGAGGAGAAGCTGTGCCAGGAAAGGGTGGTCAGCGGCAGAAAAACAGGACCAGAAAGCCATGAGCAGAGGTGGCCAACAAGCCCCTTCCCTATGCGTGGCTCCCCCAGCAAAAAAAAAGGGACACTGGGGAACGAATAACACCTTCAGTAAAATAACTCAGAAAAAAAAGAAGAAATGCAGCCGCCAGAAGTCGGCGGGCAAAAGAAAGAACACACAACTGGAAGGGCGGGCACGAGGTCCCACATGCTGCAGTAACACGGCAGCTGGGGCCACAAGACACATGCACAAAACAATGGCCCAATTCCACCGCAGAGGCCTGAACCCTCCTTGCCAGAAACCACCTAACAGGTGGTAAAAAGAACACCCACAGCGCCTCTACCCCACATGGTGATCTCTAGCCACTGTCCAGAGAGAGGAAGCAGATCAAGGGGATGGGAAGGGTGGGGTGCGGCGGGAAAAACAAGATTGCCTTCCCACCCATCCCCGTCGTACCTGTTCCAGTTCAAGCCAAATATGGCCAGTATGTTGGGGTCCTGGTTATAGAACGAGGAAGAAGAGAGAAACATAGCCAATAACTGAAAGACCCAATTCCAACTAACGTAGAAAGAACAAAAAAAAGGCACAAGAAAAACATTCCTTGTTGCCCCCAAGATAAATCCTCTAGCCCAGAAAGGAATTCATTAATACAACTCCCATAGCCCGTGCATGCGAGCCGGCCTCAAAGCCTCAAACAAATAAACCATGAACACAAGTCGTTGAATCTCACCATCAATCTAAAAAGGGCAGTACTGTTATTATCCGCATTCTACAAGCGGTGGGGTGGAGGCACAAAGAACAGTCACGGCTCAGTCCAGCAAAGCACCAGCAAAGTGCAGCTGGGATTTGAACCCAGTTCACCTACGCCTGTGGAGCGGGGAGCAGTTTCGGGAAGCAGCTCCTCAGGCTGGGTATAGGGAGACGGGGCCCTGCTAGGCTGGGGAGTGGCAGGTGCCTAAACTCACTTGAACATGGCCTTTAGCCTCAGGAAACAGCTGAGGAACCGTCCAAACTCTAATGATCATGTCATCGTCCCATACTGTCCACTATACCGCATTACCTTTGTGTTCACCTTGATGCCTGGACGAGAGAGAAGTTGCAGAGGGGAAAGCCCAGGCCTCCTGGTTGCTGCCACCCTCTTCCCTCCCCAAAACCTCCTCCGTGAACCTGCCACCACGCTGCTTTCTCAAATAGCCAAGCGCATCTCCATAAGAGTTCAAGGTGGCCTGAGTGATCCCGTCACACTCCTCGGTAAGATGTCCTGAATAGACAACAGAGGCGGATAGGGCCGTGTGCATGGCAATGGTGGGTTGAAATATGAAATACTTCAGGACCTGTTGGGCTCACGACAGCTGTCACAAGACCCCACCCCGCCCCTGGGGTTCCAATGGTCCTATCATCAGGCGACTGAAAGGAATTGATCCGGGCACAGCGGGGCCAATGGCACCCTGCCCAGTGCTCTCATGGCCTGGCGTCCTTAGTGGCCAGCTGCTATCTGGCTGTGCTGGTTATTAAATATTTTTGACTAGCTAATTACAGCACCCCAACAGACCCTTTTCCTATGGTGTGTGTGTTGGCTCGTTTGTCTACTGTCCCCCCTACTAGTCCCATCCCTCTCAGGCCTCCTTTTCTCCCCCGTAGGCTGCCACCCTCAGGACCTTACCGTCCATTTCTTGATTTTTTTCCCACAGACCTGGAACTCCTGAAAGCCCCAGCTGCCCAGAGCCGTCTTTCTGGGGGAGTGGTCCAAGGAAAGCAGAGAAGGGAATGGAGAGGGTGCCTGGGGACAGGAACCAGGCAGTCGCAACAAATCTCTGTGTGCTTGCAAGGTGGAGGAAGGCAGGGGCTCACCCGAGGAAGCCCAAGACCTGGGTTCCCCAGTACAGGAGCAACCAGGAGAATTGGACTCTTCTGCCACCCCAAGAGCCTGATCCTACCAGGAAGAGGGCTGGCGGCCAGGGGTGGCCACCTCTGGGGGGGCTGCGGGTCCAGGGGCAGGGGTGGGAGGGCCCTGGGCAGATGCCCACGACAGAAGATAATCCATGAGAGGTTGCACCATGCAAGCGGCAAGCCGTCCCACACCCAAAAGCCCTTGCTCCCTTGAGGCGTTTTGACTGTGAGGAATGGAAGGGATAAAGCCAAGAGACGGAGTGAACGGGAGTACACAGTGGGGACACCAGGGGGTGGTCATTGATGGCCCGCAGTGTGGGGCGCGTGCGGTGGTGGGCGCTGGAGACTCACGTTTGTTGGCCATCTGTGAGCAGCTTCTGCAGCTGAACATGCCTATCTCCATGTCCACGGGAGGGGGACCGTGAGCCCCGCTCCGCCCCTTCAGCCCTCGTCTGCCTCCCCGTCCAGCCCTCCCAGCCGTGGCCCGCTCCACGCTCTCCTGCCACTACTTAAACAAGTTTAGGAAGTCCGGTTCCATTTTTCTCAGAAGGGCTTTCTCAA